CGGCTGACGATGTCTCTCGAGATTTGGAGCAAGAACAAGAAGATCAACGGTTTATGGCTCCCTCTTCTGACGAAGGCAGGTTCTATGTTTCCTACCCCTTGTCCGCGGAGTGGGCCTTGTCGGTCGCCTTACAAGACGCCCCTTCTTCGGAAGGAGACAATTCCCCACCTCATGCTGGAGCCTACGATGTGGTTGGTCCTGAGTTCTCTCATGCCCCTTGTACATGGTTCAATCTGTTAAACCTGGATAAGGTGCATCCAGACTTTTCTTGGATCGATCGCCTGTCCGTTCCTGAGCCTCGAGAGGGGGAGGAGTTGTCCTGGCAACAAGAAGAAGTTTCCTCCTGGTTATACTACTGGGAAACCATTCGCTCGTCTGTGTCCGCTGCCTGCTACAAGGAAGTCGTGGATTCTGATAGGTATATCTGTGGCTTTGCTGTCGCTGGATTTTGTCCAAGCCCGAAGAATTTATCTGCCCGTTCTCTGGACGGTCGGGTACTTATCTTATCGGGGTTAGCGGCTGGTCGTGAAGATGACCCCTTCAACTCCTATGTTCCTATCGCTTCAGAGGTCTATCGTTGGGCTGCCCGTTCCGGTACGAAAATTCAGTGCGTCTTCTCTCACACTGATAAGCAGAAGTATGACGACTATCCTGCCCGTTCTTGTATGAGGAATGAATGCAATCTTGTATTTTGCTGTGCAAGACATGCTGAGGAGGCCGTCTACTTACTGAATCGTGCCGGTTTCTATCGCCCGTTGCTACATTTGGACCGTCAAGTGTATGTCTTCCGGTCTCGCAAAGCTTGGAAGGCCGATTCTCTTGGCCCTGACCTTCGTTGGTCTGGTCTGACTGCTGACGAACTCAAGGCATTAGCCCTGCTGAGAGCCGAAGCTACCTCTCCGTCCGCTCTTGCCCGTTCCGTGCCCAGTGACGCCTTTGAAAGGAAGGCCTTTGAGGTCTTCTATTTTGGCCGTTCGACTGATATTGAAGTTGTCCGTGCACGTCATCGTGATGAGCTGCCGATATATTATCACAATGCTATTAACACTGGGCGGATATCTTATGAGCACTTGGTCGAAGATTTGGCGAGATTTTACGAGAAGTTGGCTCGGTTCCGTTCGCGTCGTATGAGGCCCGCTGATATCGAGGAAGCCGAAGAAGGAAGATAATTGGGATTGATAATGGTAATTCTTTCTGTCCGTAATTAGTGTAAATTTTATTTTTATGTCCGTGTCTATACTTACCCCTTTTGTCCGTTAAGGTCCTCTTGGGTTCGGACCTGGTAGGGAGGAATGTTGTGCCAGTGGCTCGACCATTGTGCCACATTGTTTCCTTGTCCCCCAATTTTCGGTCCGAACACAATTGTCCCTGCGTGCTAAGGTGCTGCAAAGCTAGAGCTAGTAGTAGCTCATACGTAGTTTGTAATCACAGTTATAAGTTGTAACGTAACGTATCCCGATACGTTCTACTCTATTGTACGTCCGCTCTCGTACAAGGTTATCTCTGCTCACTTGTCGTGTATTGAGTTCCATTATTAGGAGGTTACTATCCCTACAGCATAACAGCTTGCCTTGCGCCTTGCCTTGCATAACAGCCTAGTCTTGCATAACAGCCTCATAACAGTCTTGCTTTCCGTCAATAAGAGCTCAGCCTCGGATAACAGTTCGGGTTTCGGGTTGCCCTGTAATATTTGTTTTTTCTTCCCGTCCCGGTTGTAGGAGACCAACATGTCTCGGCGTGTTTGTTCGATAGACCTCTCAGGCCTGTTCCCTTGCGCGTTTTGTTCGCTTGCTTGACTGGTTAAGGCTGTTAATGAACGTTCCACTTGTGGCTCGTGTAATCTACCACGCCAGACGTGTATAATTCTGTTGCCACAAAAAAGTAAACCTCTCACTAGGAGCTTCAATGGCGCTCCTATGATTGGGAGCGCTTTTGGCGCCCCTCTGATCTCACGACAGAACACCTGGGGCTGGTCTTCTCGCGTTGTATGAACAGGAGTGACCCGAGCCTATAGTGTTGCCGAGTGAGAGTATCTCTTACGTGACGCGAACAAATTAGAAAAGTTTCGCTAGAAGTCTGACTATGTCTTTCCTTCTCGTATAGGCGTGATTGAAGTACTTTCTGAATCACCTCGACGATCTGACACGTGTTCAGTGGAGTTCCACCCGTGATATGAACAACACTAGTGAAAAATATATTCCCCGAGTACTGCATATCGCGAGGTTCGAGATACTCGCGACGCGAATACCGGGTTTCTCGCAGAGAATTACGCCACTTCACGTAAAACGGGTGAAACTCCAGTTTCTCTCAGCCAATCGAGCACGACGGCCCAGCTCAGCTGGAGTACGTGTCGAAAGGTCCCGCGTCCGTCACCAGAGTGAACAAGGTATCGAGGCATGAGCCAAAGCCACAGGCGTTGCAGGTGAGTCGAGAGAAGAATCAACGACGTTCGTGAAACCCTGGTCAGGGTTCGGCCTGAGTCACCTGACGCGAATTCTGATGGTGATTGTAAGTTGTACAACTCAGCGGAGCTGAACTGTACAAAGAAGCGCTGTGAGTCGCGCTAAGAATGCGTTTGTGAAATCCGCTGGAGGCTGTGCTGCATTTTCATGTGCTGTGTGATATATGAATTTTGCTTGCCTCGGAAGCTCAAGTCAACCGATCCGGAATTGTACTCTTGCGTAGCGATCGGTTCTGCACGCCTCATGACGTTGCCGCGACCAACGCTAGTGCACAAGCTCTATCGGAATATGAGCGATTCGAAGTCCGTGGTT